GAACAGAGTCGCTATATCGCGCTTCGATACGATTCGATCAACTTCCCTATCGTCGATCGTGTTGCGACTACTACACGGTGGAAACCGACAAACTTTTCTTCCGAACGACTCCTGGGCCCATAACCTGTTAAGTTAAGCTTAGTTCTGCAGCTTAACGTTGCATTCGGAGAAAAACACGGAGATGTAATCCATTTAGCCAAGCCTGGCATATTTTATTATAAGGGCTGCACGCATCACTCTCACGGGGACAGCCTCCACTGGAATGAACTGGTTCCACACACACGTGGCAATCAAGAGCTGTGATTAGCCTATAGGAGGCAGGCATGCATCCTATACCCCTTGTCCTTGCGCCTCACTGTGGCACAAGCACAACATTGCACATCACATGGAACAGTACAGTACCACATACAAGTGAGGACATATATCCCATCAAATCTCAACAGTAATGTAGGCCTGTTACATATATTATTGAGCGATATATATTATACATACTGTTCTGCTTTCTGCACTGGCCTCAGCAGCTGTTCTTACTGTAAACACCGCGTCACAATGAAAGCAGTTGTATTAAAAAAAAAAAAAATTATCCTAACATCCAGGGGAGATGTGATTAGTGCGTAAACAAACGGTAAAGGGCAGAAAGTCTGATGCACATTTGATCATCTTAAATAGCTTTTAAACATCACTGTTGGCTGAAATCGACTCCGGAGAATACATCAGTGTACCCTTGGTTATAGCTCCTCCAGAGAGACTCCTCTCTCCTCTAAATCAGTGTATCCTCGGTTACGGCTCCTCCAGACAGCCTCCTCGATAATCGATCCTCAACGAGCCTTTAGAGAAATTTGTTTTCCTTCGAGACGGCGCGCCGACATCCGTTTCCGGGTCGCTGCCGGAGGACCTGGGAGTCCTTCTCAGGTCGATTATTTTCATTTCTATATATATTGGTCCTCGGTATCACCGGAAGTTGATTAGTCTGCGCCATCTTGAGTACCGTCCCATGGCGGTTATTTCTGCCGGAGGATCGAGGAGTGATAATGGAGGAGTGATAATCGAGGAATCACCAGACCATCCTCAGATGAAATCCACAGATACTCGCCCCGCCCCCTTACTGTGTACCGCCCCTTACTGTGTATCGCTCACTGATTGGACGATGCAGTGCATGCACTGATCTGATGCTTCTTGACATGAGAGCAGTTTCCCAGCGGAGTGAAGAAAATACATGAAACTCACGAGAGTCACTCGTCAGTCTATACTGTGTTTTGTTTCAATTCATGTATCATTTAGTTACAAATATGTGATATATCTGAACAACAAAGTGGTCAAAAAATGTTTTATTCATTTATTGGAAACATTTTCATGATCGCTTTTTTCGTTTATACATTTTAAGAATGGCGTTTATCTTTTTTGAGAATGAGTTCTTATTTTATTTAATGTATTTGGGTCTACAACAGATGATACACATGTTTGTGTCAGTAAATGTGTCCTAACAGAGGCGGGGGTGTTTGTGAAAATAACGGGGACAGAGCTGGCTGCTGTCAGACGAACAGCTGTGCGGCGTCATCAAAAACGGACGTTGCTTCATGTGACGCTCCGGAAGAAAGGACGTCCCATTGCTCTTAAAACTAATTTCCCTGCTTCTCGTGGTTTCCTTGCGTCTCTCCATGCTTCCCTGGTGGGAGGGACTAAACGCAGAGAAACGACCCAAGTGAGTGACGCAATCATTCCATTTAATCGACCTGAGAAGGACCCTGGGACGCAAAAAATTATAGAAATGACAAATGGCTCATTTCGGAGGACTCGCGCGTGTCTGCTTGACGTCAGGATGACCTAGGGGCCCGCTCATCACTGTGCGCACTTCTGTGACCGCAGTGAATTATTATTGTTTCCTTCCGGATTTGTCAACTGTTATGTAGTTTATTTATGTATCTATCTGTTTTCATTTTGTTACATATTCTTTGTGAATAATTTCTTAAAATGCAAATAAGTAAATAAATAATGGATAGAGACCATATCCATTTTCTGTACAAGGCTGAAGACTTTTTTAAATTTCTGCTGTTAATATTGGGGATCTATGGTTCATGTCTTTTTTTTTCAGTCTGTGCAATATTTTCATACAATAGAAGCAAAGTAACAAAGTGACCTTTTTATTGAGAATCATTAACAGTTTTAGGGTGCGGTAGAGCGACAGCTCAGCCTTAGTATTTATTAACCACTTCTGAGACAAATCAGAACTGTACCTTTCAACATGATGTACATAGCCTACAGCATGGCTATAATCCACACACAAACGAGAAACAAAAAAACATGCATGCTTCAGTGTCACCTTCAGCAAAGTTGCCATCATCCATCCAACCATTCCCATATTCCCTTTGTTAAATTAAATGTACAAATAAATAGCTAGAAAACACAAACATACGAAATAGCTGCTCACAATTCTTTACTCCTCTAAAACGTTTCTTAAATATTTCTAAAATGCTGCTTTCAATACACTTGTTGTACATCAGCATTATTAGAGTGTTGTTAACCATTCTTCTTCCAGAACAATATCATTAAGATAAGAAAAACACATGCAGCCCTGAAGTGTCTGGCTAAGTGTGACATCTGTGACATGGAAGAAAAAAATCAAACAAAAACTTCAAGCTGAAGGTTGATGACCTTTCCCTTTTAATACAGTATAAACAGGGCATATGGTGGGAAGACAGAGAAGAGGAACATAATCACAGCCTTGTCCTCTTGCTTGTCGAGATGCATGGATAAGGCCTCATCACTGCCTAGGATGACTGTAGTATTGATCTGGTTGCCTGTACAGTTAACCAGAAGAGTAAATTATTCTAATCATTTTAATTTTAAAATGTACTTACACTAGTCCAGTGCTCTAAACCTCTGCTCCACTGTGCCCCATTACCAAGTTTTGATAGACTCTGTAGCCAAATAATTAAGATGGTTTAAATGAAAATGATAGCAAAAAAGTAAAATCAGATCATGTTATGACATTTTTGTCAGTTGTTGACCTGTGGAAAACCTTTCAGAGGTTGCATCTACCTGTTCCATTAACCGACCTAGTCAGGGTCAGGGACTGGAGTGTATCCCACCATGCTTTGGGTGAGTAGAAGAAGATGCTTTATATCTCTCTCAAGGCTAACAGAAAAATGCTTTAAAACCTCTGTATTTTAAGCCCTATTTATTAACAGCATTTTAAGGACATCAAATCTTAACCCTGTTAATCAGACTCTGTGAGACCCCCAATAATGTTAATTGACAAAAATGTTTCAAATTCTCGTATGGCAACTAGGGTATGGTTAAGGTTAGGGAAGATTGTTGTCATGGCAAATAGACTATGCTTAGTGTGGTTAGGGTTAGACAACCAAAGCACTTGGCCAACAGTTCAGCCTGAGAGTGGTGTGAAATGCTAAGAGTAGCTTATGTAACCAAAAGCCTCTAGCCTCAAGCAGAGAGAAGAACAGACTTTAGTGTTCCGTTAAGCTCAGTTTGGTTTCTAACTCCACATCCCCAGATTTTATTTATTTTCAAACTTCATACAGAATGCTGACTTAAGTGATGACACTTGACGTCACTGTGTGGAGCGTCACATAAAGTAGAACTCCTTTAAACCTGGAAACTAGTTGATGTTTAAAAACTGTTAGTTACACCTTCGAGGAGTACAGATAATGTTTGCGCCTTTTAGAGGTGAACGCTTTTATGCTTATTATCCAGATGTTGAAAAGTCAACATTTCAATTATTTTCTCTCTGTTAGTTGCATTCATAGTTGGTTTGCGTGATAACAGATGCTATCTGAAAGAGAGACTTGATGTAAATGGAATCAGTGTCTCCAATGAACCTGACATCTGTTTAAAAGGTGAGAGGAGGCAACATTGCACAAACATTAGGAAAACGGAACCAAGGCAAATATCTGAACTCAAGACTTTCAGGCTCAATACTAATGAGTATTAGTATTGAGGCCACATATGAGGCAGTAAGTAACTGAGGCACAGTTCCATTACTGAACTAATGATGTAACTGAGCTGGAATTTCTGAGGGCACAGTGCAATTGAACATTGTCGTAAAGAACATGGTAGACTGTGGACATACGTGAGAAAAAGTCTCAACTATTGCATTGAGTACACTAGTCTGTCCAAGGCCCATGCACATATTACAATATACCAGAAGGACCATGTAGTTTGAGGGAACCGATCCAATGATCCCAGGCCCTTCACATGCTGCTTGCACCAGTCCCTTGTTCGAGATGGTGGAGGTACTTAGCCAGATAGAACAAGTTTATCAGTCAGGACTTGAATAAGAGTAGAAGCCTCTCCGAAAAGGATGTACATTCCACTCTGACAGCCAGAAACAGTCCATTTGTTTATGTAGTCATTGTCTCTGTTTTTGAAAGCATAGCAGAGAGAATGCTGGAGAGACTGCTAACAGTATTTGTCAGTAATATTGCTGTCCATTTAGAGGGGACCATGAGTTGTCAGCCCACAGCAGCTGTCCTCACTTTGGACCAGATTTAACCAGATAGAGATAGACGGTTAAGGTCTAGAACTTGGCCTTCCGGGACGATTCAGTTATTCTTGGGTATCCAAACTTGATTAATTATTGCAGTATTGGTTCAGTCTTTAACTACTGATGAGATCCATAGATATTTAAGAAGATCACCAACATGCTTTTCCTGGATATCCCTTTGGTATGCTGTATCTGATTTAGACCAAGTAGTATCCATATATTACTCTTTTCCCACAGTTTCAGTGTGCCAAATCACATGTATTTCTAAGCAAAAGAGAGACTTTTTACACTTCATACATGTCTTTGCTCATCATTCAGCTTAATGAACACATTGTTAAAAAAAGGACCACAATTTCTCAATGTATGTTGGCTTAAATAATATTGACATAGAGTTGGTTAGTGTTGCCGATCCTATTTTCTAAATTTCCTCTCATGTTGCTAGGATATTCAATTAGGGCACTATTTTCCAATCAATTACCAGAAATCTTCCATGGACTGTATAAATGATCTGCAAACAATTTTTGACTGCTTTTACTAATACATAATAGTGATTCTGATAGTGTTAGCTGTGTTTTGGTCTGCATTATCACCTTGCAAGTGCAGATAAACAGTGTTCTATTTGATTTGATAAGTTCTAGTTATCATTTACCTAATGCCCTAACACTAAGGGCTCAAAATGGCTGGTTTTTGGCACACAACAAAATCCAATTTCCATTAATTTTGTATACCTTTTCCCAGTCTGAGATTACCAGCCAGATTTCTACTGGCCCACCACTTTCTAGATAAAACACATATGATCTTATTTGACTCACCTGATAAAAATATACATACCATAATTAATCCTTTGGCATCAGAGCAACCATAGTTTTTGTTTATTTGAGGAGCTTTTTAAACCTGCATTATATTTCAAACCACATATTTTAAGGCCATGTTTATAAATGTATCTGAATATCTCCAGTTTTCATTTAGTACATGAAAAATGGCAAACCTGAAGCTTTGTTTATGTGCACTAATTGCATTATTCGTATAGAAGTTATTTCTGTTTCAATTTAAAGTTTATCTTTGTCTTTGTTTCTGTCTATATTTCTACTAGGTATTTTTCTAACTTGATTTTTTTTAGAACTTATGTTATAAATCGTATGATTAGAAAAACAGTTAACCTGCTGTTGTGTACTAAGTGCTGGGTGCTGTGATAAAGTTCCTCATAGCTCAGTGAGAGATTCTAAGATACAGTACCATACCAGTGACATACATCCACTTGACCAAAGACTTTGTTGAGTACAATCCAGGTATCTCGACAACGTGTTCAGCAAGGAAGAGCTGTTTTTTTTCCTTCACATTTTTTGCCCAACCATTGTCACACAGAAAAAAGGATGCAGTGTTGATTTCTTAATGTATTGCTGGCTCACTCCAGGCCAAACGTGCTGGTTTCCTCCACCGCAATCAGCAGTTTCTCATACAACATGGTGTATGAAGGGTATGGAGGCAGGTCCAGACGATTAAAACAGGTGTGAGCCCTGAGAGAGGAACAGACAAAGAGATAGACAAGAGTAGTTAGAGAGTTTGGAGATTCATTTCTAACAGAGAATACATGATAATCACATCATGTTTTTATGATTTTTTAAATTTATTTTTTAATTCAATTTAACTTTAACAACATCAAGGAGAATAAAGGACACCAACACAATCTATGTGGTCTTTCTATGCTAACCCGATCCTTAAGTATTTTTGCAATACGCACTTGGTTTGATATAAACAAAGAAAAGATGCTAAGTACACTTAACATTCTGAGACGTCTGCTTTGTTGCCGATGGTGAGCAACAGACATCTGAGTCAAACATTTCTGGCTGAATAAGTCTGATATGATTGCCAGTATATGGCCAACTTTTTATTTCCTGTCCTTTTTCCAAAAGGGCAGTTGGCCACTGTACATATTAACAAACATCACTCTGACCAGAGGAAATAGTGCATTTGTTGGATACTATTTTCATCTGTGCATTTATACAAAGTTGTTGCTCTAGTGAGTATGACTGGAAGCTCGACCATGTTAAAAATAAACTACAGTGCATGTGCTCCTGGTAATAAGGTAATATCTTAAGGATTGCTTGTATCAGATACACACACTAAATCAGTGGTTCTCAAACTTTTTCTGTCATTCCCCACTTTGAACAGGTGGGCCTTTTCAAGCCCCACCTGTTCCTCATCGCTCAAATAAAATGGTAGGCCAAGCTTCAAATTGTCAAATGTATCGTTCTATAACAGGGGTCTCCAACCCTTTTTTAGGATGAGAGCTACTTTCAAAAAATAAAACAAGTCGTGAGCTACTTTTACTCCTCTTTTTTTGTTTTTTTGCAGTGTATATATTTAGCACATTATAACATATGCTTACCTTTAACCTTTGTGTGGTGTTTGGGTCTGTGGGACCCGTTTTCAGTGTTTACTCAAATAAAATGTATTCGATTTATTTATTTTAACCTGCTTTATTGGGGGATGGACCTCACATCCTCTAGGGGGGTCCGGGGGCATGCTCCCCGGAAGATATTTTTTTAAATGTTGAAGTTAAATGCCTCAATCTGGTGCACTTTGAGCACAAAATGAATTTATGGATACAGCTCTCAACACTCATATGAAAGGGAGCTGTATACTTTTCAATAATACAAACATCTTTAGAATATGATCACAACCAATAACAAATCATTTAAACTAGTTTATTCTTATCTTATGTTACCTAGTTAGCATTCTTTCTTTTTATTTATGCATATTTTACTAAACACTCCCCTTTTAAACTTTTTTTACTGTCCTTTAGTACACATTGGAATGACTTCTTACACCTAGGCTATATTAAATAGATAAAGGTGTGCTCTCTCTCGCTCTCGCACACAGAGGCTGTGTGCTCCTCCGTGGCGATGACGGCTTGCGTTAAAAATAAAATAAACGTGTAAAGTTGGGGGACACAAACGGGATTTAGAAAAGTGTCACGGTTAAACTCCTTATGAAGTGGTGAGGTGTCGCTCCACATTGCTTTTCTTCCCGACTGCAAAAAACTCCCGTTCATCGCATCCATTTGCGACCCACCCATCACATCTCTGCGCCCCACCAGTGGGGCGCGCCCCACACTTGAGAAACGCTGCATTAATGTAACAATAAGAAACAATTGGTAGTTTCACCATTCCCTCTAGTATTTTGCGGGCTGGAAAAGAGTCATACATGCTTCTCTGTAAATTCACACATTCACTCTGCTAACCATCCCACCTAAGACATACAGTATATCTCAATTGCAAATAAGTCAATACATATGGAAAAATTGCCTTTTCAATGTAAAAAAACTGCTCTGGAGAACGCCACTTCATATAGACTCTGCCTGTTTTAATGGCTTTACCTCGGGCACAGACGTTTGTAGTGACCAGAACTTTCTCCTTTCCGTTTCTGAAGCGATCGATGACAGCGGCCCTCTGCTCCACCTGCATCTCTCCGCTGAGCAGCGCCACCTGGTGGCCTTCTCTGGACAGCTCGCCTGCCAGCCAGCCCGCAGTCTTCCTTGTCTAGATCAGGCAGAAAACCGTGTGTAAATGACTTAGCCAATAATCCGACAATGGTAATGTAACAAAGGTCCAAATGTGAAAACTTGGCAACACAAGCCCACAAAGGCACTGTGTTGAAAGAGTTGGTAAAGTAAGCAAACTAAACTGAAAGTGTTGCCAAGCTCTAATCTCACATATCGAAGACACAGATAAGAAAGCTTTGCAAAAAAAATCTGTATTTCTTTAATCCTATACAATTAGGGGTTCAGCTGAGAATGTATTGCGACCATGAAAGTAAATTGCATGAACTCACATGGCAGAAGACCATGGCCTGGGCGATGGTGATGGCTCCGTAGATATTACACAGGGCTTGGAACTTCTCCTCTCTGCTGTTGCACAGCACATAGTACTGTTTGATGGTATCCAGCGTCTCCTCCTCTCTCTTCAACTTGATGATGTTGGGTTCAGGCACAATGCGCTGGGCGAAGTTCAACACAGTCTCTTCAAACGTGGCGGAGAACAGTAACATCTGGCAGTTTTCAGGCAGCATCCTGAGTGGCAGGTAAGAGAGAATCCAATTTACAAGCTAAAAAAAGTAGTGTATGCCAAGATCTTCCAAGATCTTTTTTCTTCTCAATGAACCCGTTTCTTTCTGACCTCTGGATGCGGATGCTCTGGTCCTGGTGACCCTGTGTGGCGATCATGACGTCGGCCTCATCAAGCACAAACACCTTGATCTTCTTGGGGTCTATGAACTTGAATTTACTGCACCAGTCCAGCATGGTACCAGGCGTGCCAATGACGATCTGTTCATGCAGCTTTGTGCCCCGTGGCACTGGAACAATCACAAGAAACAAGTACTTGTTAAAAAAAGATCTCAGCAATATTTAAAACACAAGAAAAAAATAATGGAAAAAATATATATTTTTAAATGTAGATCATCCATTGTAGATGTAGCAAAGTAAACAACAGAGAAGTCTTACATTTGTTTCCTCTGATGGCGTAGACGAGTTTGACCTCCTCATATTGTTTTCCCATCTGCTCGATTACCTTGCCAGTCTGGAGTGCCAGTTCATAGGTAGGTGACACACACAGGCACTGAAGGACAAACAAAACGAGTGGGAAGGATTAAGGGCGAGGCCTTTCAAGGATACAAAAACATGTGGCAGTTACAGGGAGGGACACTACCACATACTGTGATAAGCATGTCATAAAAACCAGTTTCAAAAGTAAAGATTGCGATCAGAGATCTCCTATAATAGCTAAATAAAGGGGATACCAACCTGGGGATATTTGTTGTTGGGTTCTACATGACTGAGCATGGCCAGGACAAAAGCAGCTGTTTTCCCTGTTCCCGACTGTGACTGGGCAATCAGATTCTGTGGACTGGAAGACACAAAGACTTGGAACAAAGGCAAATGTGGCAAAAATAGTTAGTGGTTTTATTTATAAGTATCTGTTGCAAGTTCATCTTATAATTTAAAGTTCATTGAAAGGGTTGCGATGAACTAGGTTGAGTTATTTCAGTGAGCCTGTAAGATATATAGCCTTATTAGATGACTCCGCTATTGTTTAGAGCAACGTGTACTCACGGTTCGGCCAGCATCATCGGTAAGGCCGTCTCCTGGATTTTGGATGGCCGGTTGAAACCCATGCCGTACACACCGTTAAGCAGCTGTGGTTTGCTGCACAAGGAGGAAATACACATTGAGCCAAGTCTGAAGGAAAACCGGTTTGTAAGCATCCCATTAAAAAACACTCCAGGGTAGTAGCCCAGAAGATCTACCAGTTAAAGGACAACAATAAGGAAAACGCCTGCAATATATACAGGTTATGGGGATTAGTGTAATATCTGTTTCTCTAAAAAATTGAGAGGTGAATGGACAAACACAAGATTTACTCACAGTCGCAACTCCTCAAAAGACTTGACAGAGTAGAGCGGAGAGTTGGGATCCTTCTGAAGAACTTCCACTTGATTTGTGTTACTGACTAGATTACTTCTAATTAACTTGTTCAATAAAGACTGCGCCGCCTTGTCGTCTGGAAAACAAGATATATTGAAATTACTCCAACAACTTAAGAAGAGACAAAAAGGCTAGAAGACAATCGTGAATGTCAGACAGCATCTACAGAGGACACATATGTTGTGGTATAAATATAACAGACCACCCACCTTTGTCGTCTTCATCTGCAGGCTTCTTTTCTTCCTGCACTTCCGACTTTGCGGCTGCACTGCTGGAGTCTGTTGCTATTGCTGCCGTGCCTGCAAAAGTAAATAAAAATAAAGAGGGTTATTTTTACAACCAAAACCAGTGCTTGGATGATTTAACCCACTAAATGTTGCACACACACTTACCGTTTGCCTCTGGTTTCTCTTTTAATGTGAGGCCACCGATCTGTAAAGATAAACATATAGTCGTTTGTCTAACAAAATGCTCTCTGGCATTTTATGAGTTAATACAGCATTATAGAAAAGAGGCACAAACTACTGCTCAATCACGATTACTCCATTACTAGAGCTGTTTTAAAGCCTCTTGCATCATTTCCTTAATAGGCAGCTAAATGCTAAAGCTAGTAACTAATTGAGCACGCAGCATCTCTGCTCGAGCTAGTTACTTCCACGACAAAAAGACACCACAGGGTAGGTAAGTTTATATGACCTGTCGGTCAAAAAAGGCACTTTATTCAATGTCAGCACTGTCGTTTAATAGTTCATACTTTAAGAAATCAGGATGAGCAGTTAAGTTTCATTTCAACAGCAATGGAACAGGCCAAAGCATCCTTTAAACATGCTAACAACACGTTAGCTCGTGTTGCGTAAGTTAAGATTTACCGAGTCCGCCGCGGCTTCTTGCTCGTCCACCGCCTGTGCCCAAGAGTCCGTAGCCATTGTGGAGTAGTTTCTTCTTTGTCACTTTCTTGTCACTCGGGATAACTCAACTAAGGAAACAAGCTCACAGTGATGAGTCAGTAATGTGAAAGTTACTATTTTCCACAATGGCGTGCCGAAACCGTTTCTGGGCACCTGTGCAACCGCTCACATGTCCGGGTGGAAGGCCAGTGCCCCACGATGATAGTTCCTATGTTTTTTTAAAGTTCCCACTTGGCTTACAAAAACCAGCAAGCATGACGGACTCCTCAATTCCAAATTAACACAACTAATTTGCCTTGAATACATTGTATTTTAATTTTATTTGGATTGGAGTCGGAATCCCATTTAACAGTTATCTTCAGAGCCTGTAGGTGGCATCAAAACGTTCTGTATGGAATAGACTCACCCGATCTAACACGAACACACGCACGCACACACAAGCACGCACGCACGCACACACACACACACACACACACACACACACACACACACACACACACACACACACACTGTGACTGACAACAAAGATGATGCAGGTATTTTTGTTATTAATCCAAAGGGGCAGTCCACCTGCCCTAACAAAGAAGACAGAATAGACTTTATATAGGAAACCCAGACACCTAGATTCATGTTGAATTTATTTTAAACATGTTTTCACTGTTTCAAACATTGTGCTGTTATTCGAAAAAATAATGCCTCATAACTGTTTTTGGTTATTCAATTTTTGTTTTGTAGAGACACCTTGAAAGAGCACTGATTGTCATTATCCTAGCCTGGTTTCATAATCTCCCCCTTTGATAACCATGCATTACCTTAAGGTTCTAAAAGCCTTCACTGAGATTGCTGCAAACGTTGGGGGGTCAAATTATTTGTTTAGTTTTCCCAAAATAATTGTTATTTTGGTTGTAAATGCTCATTTTGTGTGAACACATAATTGACAGCTGTATTGAAATAATGAGGAGAGAAATCTGAAGTATTAGGCCAAAATTAAGAAACATGATTGAACCCCTGTGATGCAACCATGTATCATCATCATTAAACAGTAACAAGTATACTGAGTGAGAGAAGCTGGATCCCATGTGTAGAGAAAGCTCCTTTTGAAAGAGTAAATCATTACAGTTTCTTAACTTAATGTATATTTTCCACTCAATAAAACAACAATAATCATTAAACCACGTATTAAAGCCACCAAACTTAGTTTTCTTAAAAAGCGTATTGAAGAACAAAAGAGTCACTCAATAAATCTGATCGATGTTGGTAGTTAAGTATTGGACACTTGAGATCAGTGATCCCTGGAGGATTTTGCTTGCTACTAATCTATAAGAGCCATTTGGGACCACAGTGTGTGTGTGTGTGTGTGTGTGTGTGTGTGTGTGTGTGTGTGTGTGTGTGTGTGTGTGTGTGTGTGTGTGTGTGTGTGTGTGCGTGCGTGCTGCGTGCGTGTGTGTGTGTGTGTGTGTTCAGGTTTTTTTTCTTGCAGTTAAAGTTATAGGAGAAGGTTGATGCAACAAATATGAAGCTAATGCCAGAAACTGCACTGTTGAAATTGGGGAATACAGCTTTCACTCATGTGTGGCACTAATTGTTGCTTTAAGAAACTATTCCCACAACCATTTGTTTTAAAGAAGAAAAACTTTTTGTAAGTGCGCACTTCACAATTAGAGGGTTATTACTATGTTACCAGGGTCGTCATTTTAAGCGATTGGTAAGGTCTACCTTTGTTTAAATTGCAAAACAAGTAAAAGGATTGGACGTTTTAAATGCATTTTGAAGGTTTTAAGGATAATATAATAGGCTATAAGCTGTAGGCGATTTCAATGTATTGGACCAAGGCAACATGCATTACACATTTAACCAAGAACATTGCTGAGAAAAGATCTTTGAAATGTCTTCCTAATGAGTCACTAAGAGGATATTGAGATGGGGAACAAAAGAAAGATTCACTGCCCGGAACTGAGAGTTTGGTGCTGTAGATGAAGCCAGGCTATTACCCAGAGTTGGCCCCTCTAAGGACCACGCAGGAGCACCCGGGGTCACCTCTGGAGCCAGATCGCTGCGGCTGGCCGCTGCTTAAATGCATGCAGAATTGATTTCACACGTTTCCCCTGTTCCACTGGGATAGATAGATGATGACAGTGGCTTTGGATTGTGCTGAAGGAGATTACATTGATCTCTGTTCCGCTGTCATCCAACGGTCAACGCTGCTCTGTGCGTGCGTCATTCAAAGTGTATCTACATGTATGAGTGCGCATAGGTTAGTTGACGTGTGTCCACATGTGAGAGAGTCTCTTAGATCGACAGTTTGGAGACAATTTTGTCAAAGGCTTGAAAGAGTGGAGTTTATTGTTGCCTCCAATCAGCTGCCTTGCTGGAGGTATCCATGGCAACTGAAAGAGTAAAAGTAAGGCTTGAGGTCTCCAGAGAATTTGGAAGAGACAGAGAGAAGGACTTTGTATTGCCACATAAGGACTAATTTCAACCGCTGAATATGACAGAAAGGGTATCAAAGTGGGCGCAGTAGAAAATGGTGATCTGTGTGAAAACTCTGAAGAAAAGTCAACGCTCGGCACATAAATACATCATGTAAGATCTCTCAAACACTACTCCATGCTCAGAAGTGTACAGTATGTCACACTCACAGTCTATGTAGGCAATACACTCTTGTGCTCTCCAAAAATGTATACAGTAACACTTCAGTAGGAGGGTGCGAACACAAGAGCTAAAACTTGATGATCTGCCTCCACCGCAAAATACAAACATCGTAGATATGTAATGTAGAAAGACTAAAAGGTAGAGAAGGTAACAAAACATTTGGTGCTTTTTTTAAGTATTAACAATTGCCTTTAAGTCAACCTTTTGAATTCTTACCCGCAAAGGATAATTGTTCAGGTATTTTAACTCTTCATCTGGAAGTTAGAAGTTATGTTGGTAATGAGATATTTTTGTGGGGGAAGATCTTAATTCATTCGGAAAGACGTTTTTCCTCATATTTGCAAAATTTCAGGAAAATGTATGGGCACTCTTTTTTCCCTTTTTTAATTGTATTTTGGAAGTATGTGGTATACAGCAAAGATTTATGAAGTGTTTGTTCTTAAGTGGTATAATGTGTCAAACACTCCTATGTGGGATGGTCCGGCACAATGTTTTGTAAAACAAACACAGACAGTCTTTTACACAGAGTTACCAAGCACACAGGCGGTAGACAAAGGGCTGGAGTGAAGGAATAACAACTGGAGGTAGAACTGAGCAAAAAGAAGCAGTTATAACTCAGCAACAGACGTTATGGAAGAAAATGAGCGCTAGCTGTTTCTAAAACATATTGTGGCCGAGGAGCAGCCATGAAGACAGGTGAGGCTGGACTCTACAGTGACAACTGGTGGGCAGGTGCAAAATGAAAAGTCAAGATAACATCAACAATTATCTGGTCAGGCTTCAACAAATACATTTGATTTTTAATCACAGTGGATCAGACCAATCAGCATGCTGTGAGGAGCTAGGGACAGAGGTTAGCACCTTAATGGCAGAGTTCCACAACAATGTCTATAAGCCTTATAAAGTTGTTATGGCTAATCTGTTAGCGATCTTTTGCCTTATTAACTATCCACACATATCCATCCTAGTCTTTATTTAAACAGTCTTTAAACCAGACTGAAGTTGGCTCATGTCTGGACCATAGACTGGATGTGGTTATTCTCAATTCCAATATTCACTTCCTTTGAGCTCTGCTTTCCCAAACTCTTGAACAATATATCTGGTTCTTCAGACACTAAAGGTATACTATGCCCAAAGATACTTTCTAACTTTGTGGGTCTGCTGTTGGTGCAGTGGAGTATTTAAGCGTGTTTGCTGAAACAGCAGCCAGTTGTAGCTGGAAACGATGTCGATGACGGTGGTGAGAGTGAACAGGTAAGTTGTATGCCATAGAACCCTAACAAGGAACGGATAGACCCTAAAGCGCTCTATGGAGTGGAGGGGTGCAGCAGAGTAAGATGTGTGTGGGTTGGTCACTATGATTAAAACCTTACATACAGTCATTTCACCTCATAGACATATCGACGAGTGCATCTTTAATATGTACGGTAAAGGTATTAATCCGATGCATAGCAGTCGAGGGAGGACTGGAGGATCAAGGGGTATTTGCCATGACATGAAACATATTGTTTTAAATAATGTGTTGCATTACTTATGGTATTGATTGTTAGGGTAATCCTCTCCTCCCATTGGTGGGATTGAAAAACATGGTCACAGTGAATAGACACAACATTACAATCATATGTAAATGTTGAGATAGTAGCAACATTTTGTAGATGAATCCATTTCCAATCCATTATTCTTTGTCATATAAGACAGTAAGTTGAATATCTTTAGGTTTTGTTGGTTAAACCAAAAAGGACGACATGATTTTTAAGGGGCTAAGGGGACTAGACTAAACCATGGAAACCCACCTCTATTTCTCATAACAATTTACCTCTGAATAACGATACTAAAGGGTCAAATAGTCACACAAACTTTGCTACTTGTAGTTAATGTATGCATCCCACGCAATATGGCTTCCAAATATGGTTTCCTTATAAATACTTCCTGTGATGCTGCACTGACAGCAAAACTGTGTGTAAAACTATGCAGCAGAGTCGGTCTCCTCCATCTTGTTTTCTCTTTCTTTAACATCGGGGCATTTCAGTCCCCGGTTGTCTATTGTCAGCTAATTAATTAGAATCAAAGGGAGACAAATCCTGTAAACACCGACATGCTGAATGCACGGGTCCATAGGTGAGAGACAAGCTGAGGGGGAGAGAGGGAGATTTAGGGTGGATTTTCCCCAGACCTCCTCTCCTCACTTTCTTCTGGTAGAAGTCATTAGGATTCATACCCCTGATCCTTCACTCTGTGCAGGGTCCTTATTGCTTGCTCCATGCATCTCTAGCAGGAAAAATAAATAAAACCTGCACACCCACCCACGCCAGAATTAAAATGGTGATGCAGCTGTTGTCTTCTGTCAACAAGAGTGAGCATACAAAGAAAGAGCGAGAAAAGTGAGATAGCAGGAGGGATGGTACGAGGGAGAGTGAGAGAGTAAGGGCCTGACAGCTGGTTGGTATTCCTGAGGCTTAGCCAGAGAGGCTGATGGTGCAGAGTGGACATCACCAAGGAATTTCAATGTGGATGCAACGTCTTG